CGCTCAAACGAAACCACAAGCCAACAACCAATGGGGCGGGAGGGGGGCAGGAGACGGACGAGGCGGCGAGGGAAGAAAGCAAACGAGAAGAAACGGGCCGAGTGGCGCGATACGTGCCGGATTGAATTTCTCTTAGCCAATTTCCCCCCCCCAACGCTGCACCATTGAACCAACCCCCCACTAGTGATGACGTACCATTACAATGTATCGCTGGTTGGTGGCCATGTTTGCGTGTTTGTTTGATCGTTAGTGGTCTCTCCACCGTGTGCCTTTTTCTGTCTCTTATTTCTTGTCATTTTCGGCCTGGTCCCTTCTCGTCCTCGTTCTCTTTCATTTGTTTATCTTTCCTTGCTGTTTGCTTTTATTTTTTTTTCTCTTTTTCTGTGTTTTCACCTTTTCTCTCCTTCATTGTCTCTTTTTCTGTGCCAGATGGCCTTGTCTCTGCTTGCGTTGTGACGTACCATGATTGAACCAACCTATCTCCGGCCCGTGATGGTGACTCCTAGTCTCAGTTGTTACCTCGCACAGCNCTCGTCCTCGTTCTCTTTCATTTGTTTATCTTTCCTTGCTGTTTGCTTTTATTTTTTTTTCTCTTTTTCTGTGTTTTCACCTTTTCTCTCCTTCATTGTCTCTTTTTCTGTGCCAGATGGCCTTGTCTCTGCTTGCGTTGTGACGTACCATGATTGAACCAACCTATCTCCGGCCCGTGATGGTGACTCCTAGTCTCAGTTGTTACCTCGCACAGCGCGCAGAGGGAGTGGAGGACTCCAGAATATCTGTCGTTGATTTCAATTATACAATATTGACGTGCGGACCCCTCGGGGCCATTTTATTTGAGTGTACCTTTTTAGGGTAAGTTAAACTGTGACCACGGGAATCGACCGCGTCGAGTGTTGGATCAGTACGGACATACGAAGGTACTGGGTAGAGAGAGATCGGAACGGTTTTCAATGTGAAGATATCAGCAACAACAACAACAACAACAACCACAGCAAGGTACGAAAACGAGGCAAGAGTCTTCCACCACACGAAGGAACTTTACTTGTCCATCAACCTGGCGCTGTGGACTACAATGGACGAGACAAATAGTGCCCAGCTCAGAAATGAAACACCTGCACTCATCAAACGCAACAAAGACAAAGCAACAAAAACATAACAACCTTGTTCGAAATCGTGGCAAGGAACCTACAAGGAATGAATGTGTGGCACAAGCAAGGTCTTCCTGGGGACAAACGGGAACTCGCGAAACAAACATCTACTCTTGCGGGGTGGGCACGGAGAAAAAAATGGTTGGACGCGGGAGAGGACGGCCAAAACATTATCATGTTCCATGTGGGTCCTGACTGGGGCTAGAAAATACGTCTAGTCACCGCGTGTGTGTTCTATGAGATAACACTCTCTGTCTACAACGTTTAAAGGAGCGTGGTTGGCATAGGAAGGCAAGCACCTGATGGCCCTCTTCCCCTTTCGCGGCCGAAGGGTCTCCGCCGAATATGTCGACTCCAACCCAATCGCTGCCAAAAATGAAGATGGCGAACCTGGCAGAAGGGGGATTCGAAATGGGGAGGGATGGCCGTCATCAACGCCAGACATGCACCGACTTGGGACACGATAAAGATACCGAGCTGGGCTACGCTACGAACACAATACTGAAAACGCGCCTACAATTGAGTGATGTACCGGTAGGTCGCATTCCTCTAGTCAAAAACTGCAAAATGGGGCGCAGCTCCCATGCTGCGTGGGTGCATTGACACATTCGGACAACACTCGAATCACGCGGCAGAGACAAAAAGCAACAATCTGCAGCCCACCGGTAGCGAGAAGTTGCGGGTTGTATTCTTTCGAAAACCGCTCAACCAGCCAACGAACTGTGTAAATAGCCGTACGTCCGTTTCCACCAAACAGTCGGATTATCAACACCAGCAAACACATCGCTGAGAATTTTCAACGAAGGTTGGCGTCTTCTTCCGTGCTCAACTTGCCAGCCAACCCAGGAAAAGAATAGCAGCAGGCACACCGGCAGCAACCAGGACGGGACTGAGTAGAAGAGTGCCATATCCAGCAGCTTTTCCTGCGCGCGTGGGGGAACAAACAGGCATGCCAAACAGCAGCAGAGGGACGCGACATGGAAGACAGATCACGTTTAGCACTGATACAGTCATTTCCTCATTAACCAGGGCGATTTCTTTTACGAAGTCTATGGTCTACCGACCACGGCATGCGCTTACGTGAGCACACCCCCTTCTCCACCCTGACTCCCGCCTAATTCATGAACGTCGGAGCCCACCTTGAAGGAGGTAGGAGTCGGTGGCAACATCGCCGCCATTTCCGCCGAGCCTCCTCCCCATAACTCTTCCTCCAAGCTCCCGGCGCCGTCGACGTCTTCAGTAGCGCTTATTCTCCTGACGTCGCGCCTCAAAGGCGCAGGTTGACCCCCGCGAACGCCTCCAAAAAACTTCAAGTCGCTGTTGTTCGACTGCCGCTCGCTCGTTGCCATCTGGTTCGGAATCTCCTCTTCCAAGTGACTTCGGGGCGCAAGATCCTCCTTTTCTTGACCACGATCAACTGCGGAAACATCCGCACTCTCTCCGCCGATATATACAATACTGGCGGTATTGGTGGCAAGGGCTGTGTCACCGGTGGACCTTGACACAGCAGCATCATGGGGCCCTCCTAGTTGGATATGTTGCAGCAGCTGCGGGCGCTGCCGCTCCTGCCACTCTCCATTGCTCCCTCCCTCGACAACGGTGTACGACGGAGATCCGCCTCGCTTTGCAGCGAGAGCTCGCGGTCGCTCCATCCGGAACGCCTGAGGAAGCATATTATTATCGCACACGGAGGGAGAATGCGATGTGAAACATTCGTGCGAGACGCGCCACGCAAAATAGGCACGGCAGAGCGGATTGGCCTGCACTTGGCGGAAGCAGGTGGACCTTTGGTCGAGAACGAAGAAGTCGTCGAAACGCTGCTAGAGACGTTCAAGATCAATTCCTGTTGCATTCGGTGGACACGGTGTTCGAGGAGGCGTTGTATGCAGCTCGGGCCCACCCGTATGTTAGCATCACACAGTGGCACGTTCTTCATACAAACGACGCCACCACGAACGTCGATCAAATATTAACTGTCCTTTCTTTTCATCCATTGGCACAACATCGTAGCGGATACGCTGACGCACCTCCCTGGTAGTCACCGCCGACGCCGCGATCAGAACAAGCGCCGCCACCCAGAAATCTACGCAAGACTTCCAAAAGGCCCCAGGAGGGAAGCCTAGCAACGCGGCCGCGTCAACAGCACCGAAGCCATAACCTAAAACGTGAAGAGGCGGGAAACCGAACACAAGAGGCAATAGGAAACTATCTAGTTGTTCGGCTCTCGTCCATGTAGTCCCCTTTGATTCACGATGAAGGAAAGCTGCAGTTGCTACCGTTATTCCTGTTGGAAATGTTGTTGACGTTGTAGGTGTACGAGATTGTGGCTGTTGTGCATACAATTTTCCGTCGTCATAACATTATTTGCCACCCGCCCGGCACCCAAAGCAGAGCGACGCAGAGACGAAAGGAAAACATAAAGCAGCTTCCCCACACCTTGCATCTGCAAACCATTCCTCTGCCCAAAATGCATTGCTGGAACACCCACCTGGAGGGCAGCACAATGCTCGCCAACACAGCATTCTCCGGGATTCGGCAACTTTTTTCGGAACCGACTCCGATGAAAAGGTTGGTTGCTGCCCCGCGCACCAACTTTAGGAACCAGGTGCGATAACTGTTGACAACATGCGGTCGCCGAACAAGAGCGCAGACGGACGGCCCCAAGTTGAAAAACTCACCCAGGAAAGTGCCGGCGCCGTAGCTGATAATAATCACGGTGTTCGCCTTCGGCTGACGAGACGGGAAGGGTGGCAGGCGGCGCGTGCCGAGGGACCAGCACGAGGGAAGGAACGTATGACAAGCGTTACCGTCTCATATTCTCTTTCAAGCAAGTATAGGAGCGGACACAAGTGGGGGATAAATCTCACTGCGGCATCCGATGAAGTGCCTCTTGCGTGGGTGAGCATGAGCAAGAGCTAGCTGTTTGGCGCAGTGCGGTGGCATGATCTTGCCATTGCTGCTTCGCCGGAGGGGTAACTATTCTGCCCCTCACTTCCCCCCTCTCTGCGTCGAAACCTATCAATTTCCCGAAACAAGTTAGGCTGCCGGATCTAGCGCAGGCCGACTCGATAACCGAAGCGGCCGCAAGGCTTCCCCCTCGCTCCCTTCGGGAGGAGTGCCACAAAGTGGCGGAGTCGAGGCACACGAATAGACAGGAAGAAGCCCCGTCCAGTCCAGGACAAAGGAAGCAACAACCGATGCCTGCCCTTTTTTCCTCTTGCCAGGGGGCCGAAAAAACAAAACGGGCGGGTTTTCCAAAAGAGATGGCTTGGGGGGTTACCTGTTGCTGGGGCGGAGCACAATCCGCCACAACAGCCCGGATAGCCACCAGGGACGCGTTCATCGCAAGGTCAAGAGCCCAAAGGGCAAAGACGGCCAGCCCGGTGCCGACAGCCTCCTCACTGCCGCATGCACAGCATACGTCGCGAAGCGGTCATCGGGAATGGCAGTGAGCAAACACGACTATTTTGCTTGGCACAGAGTGTGTACGAGGGGTGGTAGGGGGTAACGTGAACTCAGCAAGCGCCCGTTGAAATTTGATTGAGAGGGTCTCCTTGAACGCAAGGCTACCGAGGGTATATCTGCCCATGCACATGCCGCTGAGTGCCTTCCAGACGATGTGGGTAAAACCAAGGCCACACCACAAAGACTCACGGTAGAGTCCGATGAATGAACCACGGAATAAACACTCACTCTTGCGGCCTGAGAAGGCACACCCTGGGCCAACTATTTCAAGATCACTCTATCGAAATTAGCAAGGCCGTCAACATCATAAAGACGGTGGCTCTGCGGAAAGAGTCCGCCTCTTTGGAAAAAAACGCAGATATCGATTTCGATTGATGGTTCGGGGGTCAGTATTGTGGATACAGTTCCCGACAAGGCTCACACATTGCTGTGGCGGCCTTTGCCTGCTCACCTCTCTCGTCATCATAGTCGATTCTAGATTAACCTCTACGCATCCCTTCTCTGGCACAAAATGAGAATACGACTTCGAGAAAAAACCAAGTCGGGAATGAAAATGCCAAAACCTTACCTGTGGCTGGTGCCACTACTGCTGCTGGTGCTACTGCTACTGCCGCCGCCTGTAAGATGCCTGCACACCGCACCGGCCGCCGGAAGAAGCGCCAGAGACGCGGCCATGATGATCGTGCCCACTGCGAAGAAAAAGCTGCGCTGGCCCTGGCCCTCTCGGTGGTCGGAAATCACACCAACAACGGGCTGAATGAAGTCGGCGTCGGGTGGTCGTGATGGCGGTGGTGTTGATGTGGGTGGTGCGTCGATCCGCAGACAAGGGGCGTAAAGGGGCACGGACAGGTGAGAAGAATTGGAAAAATCCGTTTGGCGATTGACATGCAACAGTACCGCCAGCAGCCTGCTATTGTAGCGCTAGCGCCAGCTAAACACACGCAGCAGACGCCACAGCTGACAGAAGCTACCGCGAGCACGGGTAAAGGTGGAATACAACGGCCTGCCATCTACCATATCATCCACGAAACAACGTCAAGGACCCCACCATCAAGCCCATTGCGTACTAGCAACACCGCCAACAACACCAACAACACACCAAGACGGACGTTGAGGCTAAGGCCGACGCAATCTCAACCTCCGACGCCAACTCCTCGCCACAACAACTACGGAAATAATAATACCCTTGCATCAACCACACAAGTTAGTTGTATCCCGAGAGGCAACATATCTCTGACACTGCCGATACTTATGACCCCTCGCCTGCACTAAGAGCCCTGAAAGAGGCCCGGCGAGCCACACGAAGCCCAGGTCGGCGGGATCGACGCCGTAGACATCACGGAAGAGGGGCGTGGTGAGTACCGTCTGGGCGCAGGCAGAAGGGACGGAGGGAACATAGCGGCACACGTCAACTCTTCTCTCCGAGTCGATAGGGCTGGTCGGGATCGAGAAACCGAGATGTAATGCTTCATACGTACAATATAATATTATTTTTGATCGTGAATAGAGGCGTTATCCCGCCTACGAAATCCCCTCAAAAAGAAGGGACGTACGTGGGGTGACGGAGCCACTGGGTGAGTATCGGAAATCACGGTAATGCGCATGTCTTGTGCATGGGACCAAAGTGCAAAACCAACTACGCTGGACACCATGTGCCCTGACCAAGTGACGAGGTCAATCGAAATCGGTGGCAACTGGGTGAGTATCGGAAATCACGGTAATGCGCATGTCTTGTGCATGGGACCAAAGTGCAAAACCAACTACGCTGGACACCATGTGCCCTGACCAAGTGACGAGGTCAATCGAAATCGGTGGCAACTGGGTGAGTATCGGAAATCACGGTAATGCGCATGTCTTGTGCATGGGACCAAAGTGCAAAACCAACTACGCTGGACACCATGTGCCCTGACCAAGTGACGAGGTCAATCGAAATCGGTGGCATCATCCGCACCTTCGTGGCCCAGCCGAACATGAGCCCAAGCATGCCGCAGGCTATACGGAGCAGCTGGCCCTTCGTCAACTCCGGCCGTGCGTCGGCACCGGCATCAGCACCGCCAGCATGGCCATGACGTCCAGCTTGTCTCATGGCTCGCGAGTCCTGTGCGTAGGATCAACAGCCGTTTGACGTTACATGGCACATGCCGGGTTTTGAGACCACGGGCTCCCAATCTTTCTTTTTTAGAGCTGATGTGAGAAACAACAACAAAACAACATGGCACGTACAACTCTTGTGCTGAATCTTGCTGGCAGGTGTTCAGAGTCAGAGGAACAAGGACCTCACAGACGTACCGACTCTTTGTCCAGGCCATGGGTGCAGCAACTCTACCTGTGAATACAGCGACAGATGAAGGTGCTGTGAGAGCGTTAGTTGATCAGGTACTGGCAAGCAAAGGGTGCGTACACATGTAGGCGAGGTGGTGGGCACCGACACCGTTCCCTGCTACCGCTGTTCACACAAACGAAGGGGTGGTGTTCAACGTGTTGTTACGGATGAATATAGCAGCAGTACAAGCCGACAGGTAGACATAATGCGCGCCGCAGAACACAGCGGAGCGTGATAGCTGCAACATCAATGCACGTCGTATCCTACAGCAGCTCTCCAATAGCACCTTGCACACAGGCGCCGTAACAAACCACCACAACAGGTTCTTACTTACATACCTGCCGGCAATGTCCCCCCTGCTGCCACCGGTTGCCAACATCACCGCCATCGTCACTGACGGGAGAACTCATCGCCTGCACCATCGGACCCACCAGTGTAACCACAGAGCCTTGCCGAAAGCATTCAGCCAAGCCACAGCTATCCTACATACAACAAGTCCAGCGCGGCGGGTGTAGCCTCGACGATGATATCGAGTTCTGCAACAATACTGCTGCTGTTGTCGATTGTCCAGTTATTCCCGACTTCCACACACGTATGCAGAGTAGTCGTAGGCTCCTCTTCATCCACCTCCGAGTGCGTAAAGGTCTGGTGAGACCGGTTGATGCGTGGAGGCGCGTGTGAAACTCAGGACTTTGGTTGCATCACGGCAGACGAGCGCAGCTTATCGGGGGCGAGGTGGTCTACATCTCCGGAGATTTACACCGCATTGTGCGGCCCCCCCCCCCCCTGCTCGATTCCGTCATCGTTCAGCATGATCAGCACCCGGGTTGCAAGGGGCTCCGTACACCCCATTTTTCTTTTTTTTGTAAAACAAAACAAAAAGCGTACCCCTAACGGGCCACACTTTTTCAAAAAAAAAACTATTATTTAAAAAAATAGCAAATATTGACAAGTGGGGTAAGTACCCCTCCCAAATCCAATACTCTCTACTCTGGGATCATTCCTCCCACTTCCCTCCCTCCCCTTGCGAGTATTCTTATCTGGCAGCCGCTGCATTGCTGTAATTCTTATTTGGAGCAGCAGTTTTGCACCTCACGTGTGTGGTCTTGTTCCTCACAGGGCGTGCAGCTGAGCACGCATGTGTTCTTATCTGTAAATTCTCAAGTTTTGAATTTTTTGAGCATCAAACTCTTAAGTGCCATATTCGTAAGTGCGGGCCGGCACTGTACTCTACATACGCAAAAAGTGTAGTACACGTCTCACCACGATAAATGGGGGGACTGTTGCCAAAATAAGTAGGACGAAAACACACACAACATGGGTGTTCTCCTGACCTGTTTGTAAGAAAGTTGCTCTTTTTGAGGCTGCTGCTTAACAGCCGCTCCCGATGATTGAGAAAAAAAATTTTATCGAGAAAAATTCGATCGAATTTGGTCGGCGCACACAAATTGGCCGAAACGTTTCCTCTCAATACGCGAACGTGAACGAAAAGATTGAACGAAGGAAGTCTGGGGTTCGAGGCGCGGGATCGAATCGTATCACCCGGGTTGCAAGGGGCTCCGTACACCCCATTTTTCTTTTTTTTGTTCTCGACCAATGACTCACGGAACCCCTCGCAGCTGGCCTTCACCATAGCGACCAACCGAAGTTTCTCAATAGCTCCGGCTGTAGTTGCGATCCAAAATTAGGGCAGCCCTCTATAGAATCGTCGTGGACACCTCTAAAGTATAGTGGCGTTGAAAAGGTGAAAGGGATCGCACCCGCGACGGACCTCGGAGCGTAAAGTCCGCCAGAGGGGTGGTATCTTCCGTAGAATCTTGCCTACCTGTCCTGCGTCTCCCTGCAACGAGAGAGGGATTAGGGCTGCGTGGAGAGATCTCTGAGGCGAAACGGAGGAAGGCACTGCCGTGCACAACCCACCCAAGGTATGAGCACTTCATGGATCAGAAACATGGGCGAAAATCACTGATAATCGGGCGAATCCAGAGACAAGATCATGTGGGGCACGAACTACCCGGGTGCAGCGGCAGCTATAGCTCAGCAGCAGCTATAGCTGCTTCGTGCAGGCTAAGCCGCCCTTTTGCCTGCACCCGAAGGCAATGGTCCTGTACGGTTACCAACCGCGACGCGTGATGAATGCCGACTCATGATAGGATTGATATTGCTAGATTTAGGGGCGGGCGACAAGATTCAATCTTGTGTGGTCCCCAAAAAATTTAAAAATGAAAATGTAGTCTAATAAAATTCTGTGATAGACACCGCTGCTGTTGTAGACACCGCTGCAAGCAGGGCCGGTTTACACG